CTTCTGTTTATTTAGTATATATAACATTAACTTTTATTATACATCTTGCCATCCCTTAAATATAATTTCTGTCCCTCCGCTGTTTCCCGGCTACGGACGGCCCTGACGTGACGGGGCAGACCAGGCCACTTCCCGTGGAGGGAAACGTCATTATGAATCTAACGATCCACAAAAAGTCCTATACCACAAATCCGGCAATATCATGCAAATCCCCTTTATCCAAGTGTCTTTGGGAAGTGCAGCGATGAAGCAGGAGGACACTAACCCATAATTACAGAGACGCAGGCTGGCTGTAGTGGGCCTCCAGATCAGGGGCAGAGGAGACCAGCCCAGACAGTAGATATCAGAGCATGGAGGATGACAAGGTCGAGGCTTTCATAGTTTCTGAAGGTCAAAGGTCACTTCAGTGACATCATAAAGGTCAAGTACATCATGGAAGACATTTGTGAGCAACAATCAATGACGTGGCAGAGGACTACTGGGCTCTCTGTTCAACGCTGGCAAAGACATCGCCAATTACTAAACCATTCACTGTACACAACAACCAAAGGCATTACATTTTAGACTGTCTGGATCAAAATGAAAGGCTGCCATTTTTCAGTGCTGCACCAATTAGAATTTCCATCTCTTTCTTTGAAATCATAAGAATAGGATGGTGTAGATCTTGTAAAGACTGGAGGATTGGGATTGGGCGTGGATGGCCATGCAGATGGAAGAAGGATATCTGACTCTGAGATCCCAGGGTAATACGTCTGTGAGATGTCATCTGGCCCAATCTCAGCGCCTTGCCAGTTCTGATTAACAGCACCCCCCCAGCTGACTGGTCACTGCAGACCATTGGGGGACTGAAGGCTGAAGGGAGATAAATTAATGTGGCGGCAGCAGCATGAGCGCGTGCGGGGAAGAGCAGCCACGCTACGCCAGTCACCGTCTCTAAGGAAGTGCCGGAGAGCTTACCCAGACTGCATCAGTGACATCACGCTCTATGAGGGGGGGGTTGGGGTTTGACACCCACTGTGGCTTTTTCAGGTCTGGCCTCCTAATACTCCCCTATATCTTACTGGTGAATTCTCTCCTGCCCCTTCGCCACCTTAGCTACTGTGTGGTGAGTGTACTGGTGCAGAATGGCTGCTGTCACATCATCCAGGACTCCCCACCTACTAAACCCGGTTATTTGCTGACTAAGGTGTGTTGGAGCAGGTAAATTTGCAAACTGTGTTGGATTCTGGTCCTCCAGAACAGGAACTGGGAAACCCTGCTCCAAAGGATGGAGATGCTGGGTTGGTTTGCATTTTCACTGATTATTACTGTCCCTCATCACAATCTGGACAGCAGTCCCTCGTAGGAAGTGACATCACGCACGTGGCATATCAAGTGGTCCCATTTCCTGCCCTCTCCCTTTACCCCCACGTTTTCAGACATCGCTAACATTAGTCCACACTGTTCAGCAGACAAACCTCTCTTTGGACTCGATCCGATCACAACAACAATCCGTGCAAAAGGCAAGTTGTTGTTAAAGTTAGCTAGTGCTGAAAAGCACCCAGAACAGCCGTTTTAGAAACCGATCAATATTAAATATGAATGTGAGGCGTCCATGCAGGGGCCTGACACGCCTGACACCGTCCGGAAAGCGTAGCGCCGTGACGGCCGCGGGGTGTGAGTGCACCCTGACATTTGTGAAGGTTAGGAATTTGGAGTGTCTGTCCGTGTCAATCACTGCGCTCAAAGGTCACAAAACGGCGCTTTATTAATTAGCGGCTCAGCCACTAGAAGGTGTACTGCCCCCTCATGGATCGGCACTGAAATACACTTTTATACATTTAACATAGAGGAGACAGCAGACTGAACCCACAGGCTGAATTCATGGAGGACACAGATAAGCAGCATCCGTCCTGAAAGTAGCAGGTCTTACGGGGAAGCACTGTGTGACAGCCAGGTCACTGAGCACGTGGCTGCCAGTCGGCAGATTCATCTAAGCTGCTGCATGGCTTTGCTGCACCGGCAAGGCAGAAGTGACAGGACGTGACAGACGTGCACACTCATGGCTAAAGCCACCCTTACACACTTCCATCACAGTGGGCGGCTCTGTGATCTGTTCGCCTCTCTCTGGCACCAGTTACCCTGCTGCGCCATCCAGTGACTTTCTCAGAGGAAACGAGGGTCTAGCAGGCCGATGGAGGCTAACGCAAAATAACACATACTAATGCAGGCTGATGGAGGCCAACACAGGCTGACGGAGGCTGATGAAGGTTAAGGCAGGCTGACGAAGGTTAACACAGTCTAACATAGGCTGATGGACGCTAAAGCAGGCTGATGAAGGCTAACGCAGGCTGATGAAGGCTAAAGCAGGCTGATGAAGGCTAAAGCAGGCTGATGAAGGCTAAAGCAGGCTGATGAAGGCTAACGCAGGCTGATGAAGGCAAACACAAGCAGATGGAGGCTAAAGCAGGCTGATGAAGGCTAAAGCAGGCTGATGAAGGCTAACGCAGGCTGATGAAGGCTAACGCAGGCTGATGAAGGCTAANGCAGGCTGATGAAGGCTAACGCAGGCTGATGAAGGCTAACGCAGGCTGATGAAGGCTAACGCAGGCTGATGAAGGCTAACGCAGGCTGATGAAGGCTAAAGCAGGCTGATGAAGGCAAACACAAGCAGACGAAGGTCAATGGAAAGTAGGGTCACAGAAGCAAATGCAAGTTGATGGAGGCTAACACAGGCTGACGGTGGCAAACACAGGCTGCCACAGGCTAACACACTGCTACACATCACCATACTAGAAGACTTACGCCTCCCACCAGCCGTTTTCCATACCTTCCTTATCTTATCCTCATCTTGCACAGGGTTGTGTGGGTCTGGAGCCTATCCCAGAGGCAATGGACGCCGGGCAGCGAGTCCTCCATTGTGCCGCTAACGGCTTGTACATCCATCCTCCATAGAGGGCAGGCAGTTTAATTGGAGTTACCAGATTTCCCATAGATGTGAGTGACTGGCGTGTCAGTGTTCCTTATGATGGGTTGGCACCCCAAACTGGGTTGTTCTGTGCCTTGCGCCTGTAGCCTCCAGGATAGGTTCTGGACCACCCTGAGTCATTGAATAGCATGAGCAGTTACAGAAAATGAATGGATGGATGGATGGAAGTCAGAAGGCGGATCACAGCCAGTGTCATTTTATTTACATGCATTTCCAAGGATGAAACAGGGAACCATAAAAGTGCTCAGGTGACACTTAGAGCTGAATAGCGGGGGTGACAGCGAACAGTATCGGGGTTTGGGGGGGATCGCAGGCAGTGCAAGGTCATTGTGAAGGTCACCGCCAGCCAGGGGACACGGTGGGTGTGGCAGGTTGGACTCTGCAAGGCTTTAGACATCCATCACCGGGACCTGCAGGAATTTGGGTTTCACTATCAAAAGTCATCAAAAAACAGCCGGCCCATTACCGCCAATGGGGAGCACAGATCTTCCCAGAAAGAGGTTTCAGATGCTGTAAAAAAGCTCAGGGATTATTCGGCTGATTGCTGAGCATCAGTGATAAATTCTTCAGCTTTTCCTAAACAGCTCAGCTAGATAAAGGCCTGGACAGCAGGCGCATGAGGTTGGACCTCGGGACATCGAAGGCAGGAGGAGGAGATAGATAAAGGCCTGGACAGCAGGCGCCTGAGGCTGGACCTTAGGACATCGAGGGCAGGAGGAGGAGATAGATAAAGGCCTGGACAGCAGGCGCCTGAGGCTGGACCTTAGGACATCGAGGGCAGGAGGAGGAGCTAGATAAAGGCCTGGACAGCAGGCGCCTGAGGCTGGACCTCGGGACACCGGGGGCAGGAGGAGGAGCTAGATAAAGGTCCTGACAGCAGGCGCCTGAGGCTGGACCTCGGGACACCGGGGGCAGGAGGAGGAGCTAGATAAAGGTCCGGACAGCAGGCGCCTGAGGCTGGACCTCGGGACACCGGGGGCAGGAGGAGGAGCTAGATAAAGGTCCGGACAGCAGGCGCCTGAGGCTGGACCTCGGGACACCGTATTTT